CATCTTGCTGACTAGCTAACAGAATAAGCAGACAAAAGAAAAAGTCGGTCCTGGTATAGATTATTTAAAGCACCCAGATGATACAGAACGTGCTTTTGTGGGTGCCCAGTCCTGCCTGCCTTTAGGTTAGAATGCCAGTTTCCTTAGGCCCAAACTTGTATCAAATAAGGATATAGAAGAATTTTTTTGGTGGGTGGATATAAAAGATTTTTACTTATTTATTTAGAAGATTATTTACTTATTTATTTATTTGGCAGAGAGAGAGAGAGAGAGAGAGATCACAAGTAGGCAGAGAGGCAGGCAGGGGGGGGGGGAAGCAGGCTCCCCGCTGAGCAGAGAGCCCAATGCGGGGCTTGATCCCAGGACCCTGAGACCATGACCTGAGCTGAAGGCAGAAGCTCAACCCACTGAGCCACTCAGGTGTCCCTATTTTATTTTTTAAAAGATTTTATTTATTTGTCAGAGTGAGAGAAAGCACACAAACAGGGGGAGCAGCAGGCAGAAGGAGAAACAGGCTCCCTGCTGATCAAGGAGCCTGATGCAGGACTTGATCCCAGGACCCTGGGATCATGATCTGAGCCAATGACAGACCCTTAACTGACTGAACTACCCAGGCGTCCCTAAAAGACAGCAAATACTTATTTGACATACATAGATAACTGCAAATTTACAAAATGTATGAGATTTGTGTGTATACTGGACCATAACACAAGGGTCAAATTTCAAGGATTGAAACGACACATACTTAAATACCATAAAGAAATTATGCCTGAAACCAATGGTCAAAGATAACTGGAAAGAACCTTTATGGGTAAAAATTAATTAATACACTTCTACGTAGTCTAGAGGTTGAAGAAAATACACTGAACTGAATGAACATGTTGCATCTTAAAACTTGTGGGATGTAACCATAGGTGTATTAAGAGGAATATTTTATAGCCGTTAGAAGATTTTAAAATTGAAGAGTAGCAGTGATATATATAAATATCCAGCCGAACAAATTGGAAAAAAAGATCTGCAAACTAAGCCAAAGGAAAGTATAAAGAAGGAAATAATGAAGACAAGAGAGGAAATTAAGTAAGAGTAAAAACAAATATGCCATGGAAGAAGATTAACAAAGCTAAAGTAATGCTTTGAAATGACTAATAAGACCTCTCAAGAAATTCACCCAAGTGAGCAACAAAGAAAGCGATGTAAGTAATCAATTACAGTTATACAGAGGACATCATTGTGGATCCTATTAAAAAGATAATAGTATTCACTAAACAGCTGTATGTTCATAAGTACACTTATGAAATGATATGAAAAAAAAACCTGACATTCCAAAATCTGATTCCTATATCTATTAAAAATATTGAATGTGTAATTAAAAGCCTTTTCATAAAGTATGTTGTAAGCCAAGATGGCTCCATTGGTGAATCTGCCAACATTGAAAGAATTAGTATCAGTTTGACATATATTCTTAATGTGGAATAGAACAAAAGGGGACAATTCATAATGCATTTTAGGGGGCTAAGATAACACTGATACCCAAATCTGTTAAGAATATTATTAGAAGTGGAAATTAAAGTCAATTTACTCATAAGCATAGATTTAAAAAATTTTAAATAAATATTAGCAAACTAAATCTAGCAAGATATGTAAAAGGATAATATATCAGAACCAAGTGGAGTATTTTTCTGGTGTGTGTTAACATTTAATTATCAATTGATTTAATTAATCTATTAACAAAACGGGGAAAAAACTTATGGTGATTGCATAGTATGGAATGCTATGCTTCAGTAGAAGCATTTGATAAAATTACATAACCATTCATGTTAAAAAATCATCAGCAAACTAGGTATAGAAGGGAACTTCCTGCTAAAGGGCATTTATGAAAATCTATAAATAGGGGCGCCTGGGTGGCTCAGTGGGTTAAGGCCTCTGCCTTCGGCTCAGGTCATGATCCCTGAGTCCTGGGATCGAGCCCCGCATCGGGCTCTCTGCTCAGCAGGGAGCCTGCTTCCTCCCCTCTCTCTCTGCCTGCCTCTCTTCCTACTTGTGATCTCTGTCTGTCAAATAAATTAAAAAAAAAAAAAAAAAAGAAAATCTATAAATAATATCATGCTTAATGGAAATAGACTGAATGCTTTCCTCCTGTGACGAAGGCAGGGATTTTTCCTCAGAGTTTTTATTATGAACATAGACATGTGAGGACATCCAGATGGATGGTAAACACAGGAAAAAATTTTTCACTTAGGAGTCATCAGAGAATTAAAATTAAAACCACAGTAAGATATTCCTACGCATTCATGAGAGTGACGAAATGAAAAAAATTGATAATACAAATATTAGAGATACCGTTCATGGGAAAGTCCCATACACGGGTGGTGGTTGCATAAATTGGTGCATGTTTAGCAAGCTGCTTGGCAGTATCTGCTGAGGTTATACATGTGTAGTTTACAAGCCTGTGTTTTCACTTTCAAAATGCATATAAAAGCAGACTAAAAGTTGTGTGCTCAAATGTAAATAGTGGCATTTTTAATGGCTAAAAATTAGAAATAACCATCCTGTAACATTGCAGTGGTTGAATAATTTGCATCTAAATACACAGCATGGGTTTTCAAAATACTGTTCTCCTGTTCCTGTTGGTAGCATCACCTAGGAACTTGTTAGAAATGCAAATATTGGGCCCCACTCTGTACCTACTTAATCAGAAATTCTGGGCCTGGGGCCCAGTGGTCTGTGTTTTATTAAGTCCTTTATGTGATTCTGTTGAATCTGTTGAACAGATTCTGTGAGTCTGTTGAAGTTTGAGATCTAATGCTCTTTCATAGATTTGGCATACTTTTTCTGTAAAGGACCGGACAAAGAAGTCTTTTAAGACTTTTGGGCAATATAGTTTCAATGCTGCTATTACATTGAGAAAGCAGTCATAGATAAAGCATAAATGAGTGAATATGATGTTCTACAACCCCTGCCCTACAACAATTAAAAGGGATGCTAAGCAAAGTAAGTCGGTCAGAGAAAGACAAATGCCGTGTGATTTCACTTATATGTAGAATTTAAGAAACAAAACTGAAGAACATAGGGGTAAGGAAGGAAAAATGGAGGAAGTTGAAAATGAGAGGGAGGCACACCATAGGAGATGCTTAATTTTAGGAAACAAACTGAGGTTTGCTGGAGGGGAGGGGAGTGCAGGGATGGGGCAACTGGGTCACGGGCATTAGGGAGGGCACTTGAATGTAACGAGCACTGGGTGTTCTATGCAACTGATGAATCACTGAATTCCACCTCTAGAGTATTACTACATTACATATGAGCTAAATTGAATTTAAATAAAGGATTAAAAAAATAGATGAACTTTAGATGCATTCTATAACCTGCATATGTCTCTGAAACTAATGTTGAGTTAAAAAAATGGCAGAAAAGAACATATGTTGTATGGCTCTGTTTATATTAGATTTATAAACAGATGAATCTCACTGGTGTTATTAGACGTTAGGATAATAGTTAATTTTGGCAAGGGTGTGTGAATTGTAATTGAGAAGGGGAAATGAGGGAAGGATTTTGGACTGCTGTATTAACATCTATAAGAATCCATATGCTTGTTAACCATGCTACAGATAGAAGAAACAGGACATGACGATTCACAGACCTGTACCCCTGAGGCAAATAATACATTATATGTTAGTAAAAAAAAAAAATAAATAAAAATAAAAAAAAAAAGAAACAGGACAAAAAAAGTTCTTACTACTGCACGGGGTGACCTTTATATAGCAATTATTTTCTTGTGAATTTACTAATTAAAAGGAAAGAATTAATCATTTACCTTTCCTAAATTTGCCTGTCATCCTTGCACAGGTGCCATGCTAATTAATCTTCCAGTTTTAATATATGTGCTCCTGAAGTGAGCACTTTTCCTGGTTAGAGTAACTACAGTTTATATTACACCAGTCTTATTTACAGAATGATAGTAATAATAATAATACCCAAAGAATGATAAAAATCACAAAATCACTAATTTGCAAAACCCCACCATATTTGTAGAGAATTGCATGAAAATTATCAGTGCATTCTAAAGACATCAGCCGACTGGGGTATTTACTTGGTGCCTATAAATACTCTGGCAATGTAGAAACATCTTTTTTAGATTGTCAGGGGCCTTGTTTTGAAAAACAGTTTAAAAGCATCACAAGGATAAATATAAGATTATTTCTCAGTACACAGAAAAATAAACAACTGTAATAGGGGCTTAATAGTTGTTGAATAGTTGTTCAATGCCTTAGCTTTCACTTTTTAAAATCTTGGATTTGAAACTTTTTTTTAAAACATATTCTAAGGGTTCCCCCCCCACCAAGTGTTTTATTTTACCAAACGCAGTATGTATGAATTCCATATTCCAATTTCAGTGATCACTGGAGATGATGGCTTTTACTTTTCCCAGATACTGTTTCATTAAATTCGTTATTGATAATCCAACAAATACTCAGTCCTTTTTGATGGTTTAGGGTCATGTTGGAGAAGTTAGGCTTCTTCATTTTATATTTTTCTTTAGTGCAGTTCCTCAGATAGTGTGGCTAAAACAAATCCAGCCCTCAATTTTCACCTGGGTGGCATACAAATAGCATGGTAACAAAAAAATTTGATTGTATGTACTTTTATTTTTTTTATTTTTTTTATTTTTTTAAGTTTTATTTTTTTAAAACATATAATATCTTTTTATCCCCAGGGGTACAGGTCTGTGAATCGCCAGGTTTACACACTTCACAGCACTCACCATAGCACATACCCTCCCCAATGTCCATAATCCCACAGATTGTATGTACTTTTTGATGAAAATAGACGTATACTGTATTAAGGTTTTATATAACCGAAATTATGCATTCTTCCATTGTGTAGATTAATGACCTAAAGGGGAAAAGTTTTGTTCTTTTAAGCCTGGCAAAAGCTTTTCAGTCTTTATTATCATATACCTATTATTTTCTGCATGATGTATAAATTGTGAATTTATTTCCTAGGAGGAGTATAGAACTGAAGGTATCAGCTGGCACAATATAGATTATATTGATAATACCTGTTGTATAAATCTTATTAGCAAGAAGCCAACAGGTCTGCTCCATCTTTTGGATGAAGAAAGCAAGTGAGTATGATTCTTTCAGCAAGTACCTTTCAGTCAAAAGTGTGGTTCTTTTCATTTGGGCTTTTCATGTCCTTTTAATTTTCTTCTTACATACTCAAATAAGGAGTCAAAGTTTCCCTTGTGTATATTTTATTGTGTGTATATGTTTCTAGGAAAATTGGGTGAACCTTAATATTGAATTTTTACTTGAGTTTTTCCAGATTCTTCTACAGAGTTACTTTGATGTTAAATTTGTTGGCATATTTTATATTGTTGCATGTTCCTCTCTTTTTGAATTGAGTTTTATATGAGATGTGTTTGTAGTTTTCATGTTTAGCAGAAAAGAGTATCATGTTAGATTAGTGATGTCTGCCACAGTTGTGCAGGTGGAAAGTAGCAACACATGCCAAGTATTTGACATCCTTTGTTAGCACTGTGTAGTATACCAAACATGTATGTAAGCTTTAGAAGTGAGACGTCATAGAGCATCCTCTACAGTGTTTCTAGTGCTCTGTAAAGTACTATTTATAGTTAAATTATCCTATAAGATGGCAAGTCTAGAACTGGAGAAACTGAAGTGATGGAGAGTGAGTTTTCTGTCACTCTTTAGTAAAATATTAAGTAACTGAATTAGATTGATTTCTAACTATAAATATTATATGCATTGAAGTAAGATAGAAAATATTGGGGATTCACTATCATAGGTGGGATGACCATACATCACCAGTTTTGAATGGGACAGTCTAAAGTTTGTGTCTGTGGTCGAGTTTAGTTATTAACGATACCTACTTTTATTCCCCGATATTCTGGTTTGTATGGTAAGTTGTGTGTCACCCTATTAATATGCCATAGGCATATAGAAATTGCTACCTAAAAATATAAAATAATATGGTAGAATGCAAAATATATTGAAAAGGAGAATGCTAACAGTTACATCTACTGACTCTATCACCAGTCTATTTCCATTAATCTAAATGAATTAAAGTGCAATTAACACAAAAATATTTTATGTACTAAGTTGTGTAAAAGTTTTTTTATATTGCTCTGTATGCCCCAACACATGTATTATCCTTTATAAAATAGTAAGGTTAGTGGCTCTTAACTAGTTACATAGCTTAAATCTGGTGTATTTTATTTTGGAAAGCTTCGTAGATGATTTTGATACTCAGTGTTGAGAACTATTATGGTTGGTGTCAAAATATTGAGTAGTTCTGTTTCTTTGATGGTTTAGGGTCATGTTGGAGAAGTTGGAGAAGGTAGGCTTCTCCAATATGTATCATGTATTTTATGATAACAAAAAGAACAAAGTTTAAGCAAGTTTAAGTAAAGATCATATAGGTAATAAGTGATGGATTTGAGATTCAGATACTCCAGGCATTTCTGACTAATTAGCTTGTGCTTTGAAGTATTGTCCTATAATGTTTCTCTGTAATAGGCTATAGAGTCAGAAGTTCAGGGTTGCATTCCATCTCTATTAGCTACCTTTAGCCAATCTCTGAATATTTTTCGTTCTTAGTTTTTTGCATGTAAAAAGGAAATGATTATGAAAAATGATAATTCTGTTTGTTATATATCTTAAGGTGGTTGTGAGCAACAATTGAGATAGTGAAGTATATAATTAAAACATGAATAGAGGAAAGGGTTCTTATCTGGCCTGTCATTCCTTATATGTAAAATATTTTGAATTCACATCTTACTATACAAAGACTGTATTTCCTTGGTTATTTGCTACCTCACATAATAAATATTGCCCAATAAGAGAATATCAACTTTGTCATTACCCAGAAGTTCTTGTGGGGAAGCCATGTGGCCAGAAATTACAGTGAGACAGCTTTTGGGCTCAGTGTAAGAAAGAACTTTCTTTTCTTTTTTTTTTTTTTTAAGATTTTATTTATTTATTTGAAACAGAGAGAGATCACAAGTATGCAGAGAGGCAGGCATAGAGAGAGAGAGGAGAAAGCAGGCTCCCCGCTGAGCAGAGAGCCCGATGTGGGCCTCGATCCCAGGACCCTGAGATCATGACCTGAGCTGAAGGCAGAGGCTTAACCCACTGAGCCACCCAGGCGCCCAAGAAAGAACTTTCTAATCATTAGAGCTGATTAGCAGCTATTTTATAAGGTAATAAAATTTCCTATTATAAACCTTCCTACACTGTTGGTAGGAATGCAAGCTGGTGCAACCACTCTGGAAAACAGCATGGAGTTCCTCAAAAAGTTGAAAATAGCGCTACCCTATGACCCAGCAATTGCACTACTGGATATTTACCCTAAAGATACAAACGTAGTGATCCAAAGGGGCACGTGCACCCGAATGTTTATAGCAGCAATGTCCACAATAGCCAAACTATGGAAAGAACCTAGATGTCCATCAACAGAAGAATGATAAAGAAGATGTGGTATACACACACACACACACACACACACACTAGAATACTATGCAGCCATCAAAAGAAATGAAATCTTGCCATTTGCGACAACATGGATGGAACTAGAGGGTATTATGCTGAGCTAAATAAGTCAATCAGGGAGACAATTATCATATGATCTCCCTGATATGAGGAAGTAGAGAGGCAACATGGGGGGCTTAGGGGGTAGGAAAGGAATAAATGAAACAAGATGGGATTGGGAGGGAGACAGACCATAAGAGACTCTTAATCTCACAAACATACTGAGGGTTGCTGGGGGGAGGGGGTTCAGGAGAGGGTGGTGGGGTTATGGACATTGGGGAGGGTATGTGCTATGGTGAGTGCTATGAGGTGTGTAAACCTGGTGATTCACAGACCTGTACCCCTGGGGATAAAAATACATTATATGTTTATAAAAAAGTAGAAAATAAAAAAAATATATAGATGAGGAAGCCCAGGTGTGGGAAGGTTAAGCAATGTATCAATATTATAAAGATAATAAATGGCAGAGTTAGAATTAAAAAAAAAATTCCTATTATAGTAATTCTTTTGCATCATTTGTCAGGGTATTGTTGGTAGGAGACTAAACTGAATAACCATTTTTTAAAAGATTTTAATTATTTATTTATTTGAGAGAGAGCGCAAGCATGAGTGGTGGGGAGGGACAGAGAGAAAGGGAGATGCAGACTCCCTGGTGAACAGGGAGCCCTATGTGGGGCTTGATCCCAGGACTCTGGGATCACAACCTGAGTGCCAGGCAGACACTTAACTGTCTGAGACACCCAGGTACTCCTGGACTGAGTAACTTCTTAATTGTCCCTTCAATTATGCTTTTATATTCAGTCTTATATATTCTATATATTCTTCTATATTCTATATGAAGACTTTTTATAAATTCTATTATTATTTTCTTCACTTTATGTGTCAGTCCTGTTGTTTTTACCTCCTCTGGTAAATGGACCACTTTGCTCTATGCTTTAACATCCCAGAAGATACAAAGGCATGAAATGTTTTCTCTCTGCCAAAGTTGGACAGAAAATAAATTAGTCACATTTAGGAAGAGCTATTTTGGGAACCACTTAGACTAGTTTTCCTCTAACAACTGTTTTTTTTCTATAGGGAATATATAACATGAAATATATCCTTAGCAGCATTCCTATGTCATTCAGTGCTTTAGGTGCATGGGTTTGAGATCAGAAGTCTTGTTTAATCTTGTCTCTATTATCTCTTGGCTTTGGGCAAGTTTGACCTTGGGCAAGTTATTTAAGCTTGATTGTAAAGGATGTAGCATGAAATTTAGGAAGGAGTAGAATAAGCAAAGTTAGGTATGAGCAGGATGTCAGGAGTGTTACCAGTCTTTCCTTCAGTATTCAAAGTATGATCTCTTAATGTGAGTACTGGCAGCACCTTGAAGCTTCTTAGAAATGCAGAATCTCGGACTTCTACCCCAGTCTTCTTTTAACAAAATGAAGTTAAGACCAGAGCATTCATTTAGGACAGCATTTTGTTAGTCTTGTCTGGTCCTAAGAAATACCTGAGTAACGTGGAGATAGTACTGATCATCACCCTAGCATCACTTCAGTAGAATCACAGGAATGGGGTCTAGGTACTGGTATTTTTTTTTTTATAAGTTTTTTTTTTTTTTTAATTGACAGAAATCACAAGTAGGCAGAGAGGCAGGCAGAGAGAGAGGGGGAAGCAAGCTCCCTGCTGAGCAGAGAGCCCAACATGGGGCTCAATCCCAGGACCCTGGGATCATGACCTGAGCCGAAGGCAGAAGCTTAACCCACTGAGCCACCCAGGCGCCCCTAGGTATTGGTATTTTTGAAAGCTAAAGAAACACAGAAAGAAGCATGGAAACACTAATCTAAGACTATCCTGGCAGATACCCTTTGGGGAACACTAGATGGAAAAGCTCTGAAGTGCACAATAATTTCTCTGTTCCAAGCTCTTATGCTTGATATTGTAGTGTGTATCCACAAGAGTTTGTTGAATATAGGACATATGGAGAGCTTTTCTTTCCATTTTCCCTTGTTTGGAATAAAAACTGTTCTCATATATGTCTTCCTTTGAAAATCTCTTTTCTCCATTTGAAAGTAAGAGAAAAATAAATCACAAGCTCTTCGATTACTCAGAAGAATACTTAGGGACAATGAAATGAGTATCCTTCCTGAAGAAAAGTGTCCTGCTGTGAAGTGGTGAGGCATAAGTTTGCAGAGGTTGAGTTGGGTCTAGGCTTAGGAGCTTGGATTTGGTCACTTTGCCTTGGTGAACCATAAATTTTCCTGAGTAGGGGAGGCACATGATTAAAGCAGTATTATAGGAAAATTTTGATATTTTGATTTGGTGACTTGAAACAAGGTAAGATTAGAGTACTGAGACTACTGTGGAGGCTGTTGCTGTACTCTCTGTTTCCAATTGCAAGAGTTACAGTCCATTCTAGAATGGCTTTAGAGTTCTGGAATGGACAGAGAGAGCTGGATGGTGATGATGTTTTGAGGAAGGGATAGTATTTGAATGCAAAAGCAGACCTAGTTGAATAGGAAGTTGAATAGGAAGATGGCAATATTGGCAATGTTATAAAGTAGGTAACATTTATGTCCTCCCTATAAGGATGCCAGCTAGTGTTAGATGTTTTTACTAGTGTTATTTAATTCTGTTAACACTGCAATACCTCATTGTACTCATTTATGGAAAACTAGTTCTTAAAGCTTGCTGTAGGTCACATATAGAACTGGTAATCTGAACTATGACTCTCTGACACCAAAGGCCATTCTCCTTCCTGATCCTAATACATAAAACACAATTATTTTTGTTGTGATTTTGGAATCATTTCTACATATCAGATTTTGTATTCAGCATCTTTGCAACCTCATGTCACATTATCTCATTATCTCATTATTTCAACTCTGATTAAGTGAAACTATTTTCTAAAAGATACTTGCTTTCTCCTTTTTCCATCAGTGATATTTCCTCTATTTGAAACTCCTACCCAGCCTTTAACATTTAGTTCATAATTGCCTCCTATATCTTCTTTGAATCTTTCCATTATTCCCAACCACTAGTGGTTTTTTTCTTTTTGGAACTTTTCTTTACAAAAATATTTATTATTAGAGAGATTGAGAGAGAGGAGGAGGAGGAGAAGAGACAGAGGGACAAGCAGACTGCACTGAGCGCAGAGCTGACGTGAGGCTCAATCCCAGAACCCTGAGATCATGACCCGAGCTGAAGCCAAGGGTTGGATTTTTTAAAGATTTTATTTATTTATTTGAGTGAGGGAGACAGAGATAGTGACAGAGAGCATGAATGGGGAGGAGAGGGTGAAGCAGGCTCCACATTGAACAGGGAGCCCAAGGAGGGTCTCGATCCCAGGCCCCTGGGATCATGACCTGAGCGGAAGGCAGATGCTTAACCCAATTGAGCCATCCAGGTGGCCCCTAAACTTTTATATTCCTGTATTTGCTATCATGTAATTATTTCTTAATGGGATCATTTGAGTTATCTCTAGATATGAAATACTCATCAATGGGTATAAACCATTGAGACATATTTGAAATAATAATAGATATAAAATTATGTAGTTACTGGTACAGGAGAGAAAATTGCTACTTAATTTATGTTTGAAGAAACAGGAAAACAGAAAATGACTATGGATTTAAGACCTGTCCAAATTGAGAGATCATTTTCTGTTTGGAAGTTCTTGGCCCCAAACAAAGTATCACTTGAGTTTTATTATCCTGTTGGTTTTACAGAAGTGCCACAGGGTGTGACCTGAGCTAAATACCTGCAGACCCGAGTTCCTTTCATAGTTCTGCTGCTCGGAGAATATGAGTTTGGGCAAATTGGGACTTTTGATCCCTCATCTGTAGAACACCAGTCCTTCTTATACTCCCTTTTCAGCTTGTTAAGAGAATCAGATTAGATGGTATAAGTGAAAACTCATTGTAATTTGCTATAAATGTGTTAGATGGCAGTGTAATTTTAATGTATTAAAAAAAGAGACTGTATTAACAACTGCATTTTTCTTTAGTGTTTTGTTTTTTGTTTTTAATGCAGCTTTCCACAGGCCACAAATCAAACATTGCTAGATAAATTTAAGCATCAGCATGAAGAGAATTCTTACATTGAGTTTCCAGCCGTGATGGAGCCTGCTTTCATCATAAAGCATTACGCTGGGAAAGTGAAGTATGGGGTCAAGGTCAGTAAATTTCTCATTGATGTGCCTTAGGGGTGAAAGTGTTCTCTACTATATCATCATCCCAGTCACACTGCCTTCTGTGCAGTTTATGGAGGCTCTTGATCAGTAACAGTTGGAGACGGAGACATTTTATAAAGGTACTGCTAACATTCAGATTCTACCTTGCAACATATTACAGTCTTATGTGATATTGGTGTTGGTTTCCTCCTACAGATAAGCTCAGGATCAGTCCCAGTCCCTTCTAATCATTTTTTTTTTTTTAAAATCTGAAGAATAGAGATAATATATCTTGAACCAAGTATTTCATTATGTAGTTTTACTTTTTCTCTTCTCATCCATGAGACTTAACAGAGGCTTCATGTCTTTATGCACCATTAGGTATTTGTGAGCTTGCACTCCTAATGAATATATTGAAGCTTTTAACTCTTGTGGAGGAGAATCTTCAGAATTGTGGCCATTTCTTTTTTGTAATTAGTGAGCCGGTTACCCTTCAACCGCTTGATATTTAAGATTGTCATTTGGTAGTTTCCCAGGCAAGGCAGTGATGGTATGGAGCGTAGTAGAGCAATATATTTTCTCTTGGGTATTGAGGTGAAAGTCACAATTAAAAGCACTCTTTCATTTGTCACTGATTGACTTTGTATGTTAAATACAGACTATGTGTCAGACCCTGTGCTTGGTGTTTGGGACGATGTAGTGATGAACCAGGCAGACATGTTCTTGGCTCAGTATATACATATATGTGTGTGTGTTTGTGTGTGTGTGTGTGTGTGTGTGTGTGTGTGTGTAATATAGATAAATGGGATATTGCCATAAATAAATGAACAAGTCCTAGGAAAGAAAGTAGTGAAATAGTGGAATTAGAATTTGGAGATCCATGAATACCTCTCTGAGAACTTAAGTTTTGAGGGTTAACCTGAAGCAAGTGTTACCTTGGTGAGGAGCTGGGATGATGAATATTCCAGGCCATGAGATACAGAATAAATATGTTAAAATAATTGAAAACAGGCCAGTGTTACTAGATTATGGTGAGCAAGGGAAGTAGTGGCATGAAACAAATTTAGAGAATGAATAGCAAATTAATTCTTCATGGCTTTTAGACCAAGTTAAAGGAGTCTGGTTTTTATTGAAATTATTATGGGGAACCACGAAAAGATTTTAAACAGGCTGTGATTTGTGTTTTTAAGAGATTGCTTTGATTGCTTTGAGGAGAAGGAATAGCAGAGGATGAGAGTAGAAGCTGGCAGATAAATTAGGAGCTTTTTAAAATAGTTGAGGTGAAATGTTAAGGTAAACTGAACCACGGGTGGCGGTATAGATGGAGGAGATGTAGATGATTATGAGATATATTTTGGAGGTATAATTGGTAGAAGCTGATTGATGTATCCTAGCTAAGTGACTTCTGGCTATAGCTGATGGGTGAATTTGAGGTGTTATTTCTGAGATGGAAGAGACAGAAAGGAACAGATTTTAGAACAAACATTAAGAATAACAGAGTGGAATGATAGTTCCCAGGGGCTGTGGGATGGGAGAATTGAGGAAATGTTGGGCAAAGGATACAAACTTGCAGTTAGAAGATGAGTAAATTCTGGAGATCTAATGCACAGCATTGCGATTATAACAACATTGTGATAATAGCATTGTCTTCAGAGTTCTTAAGAGAACAGATTTTAGGTGTTCTTACCACAGAAAAGGAATGATAGTTATATGACCTGATGGAGGTGTTAGCTAATACTATAGAGGTAGTCCTATTGCAGTATATAAATGTATCAAATCAGCACATTATACACCTTATTCATTACATGTTAGTTATATCTCAATTTTTTTAAAAAAAGATTTTGAAAATGTAGTTTAAAACAAAAACAAGAAAACTTGAGCTATGAAGTCATACAATGAGGTGCATAAATCCTAAGTGTACAGATTTCTGTCATGCCCCTTCCTAGCTCATTCTCCCTGACACAGAGGTAACCACTACCCTCATTTTTTATCCTTAGTTTTACTTGTTATTACATTTCAGGTAAATGGAATCATACAGTATATACACTTGTGCCTGTGATTAATCATCCTTAGAAAGGTTGAAAGTAAAAGAATGGAAAAAATATATATAGAGAAAAAGTATATATAGAAAGTAAAAGGATGAAAAAAATTATATCACCCAAACCCTAAGTAAAAGAAATTATTAGCAGACAAGGTAGATTTTACAGCAAGAAGTATTAATAAAGTTAAAGATGCACATTTCATAAAAATAAAAGGAGCCAGTTTGATAGGAAGACACAACATCAAAAGTTGTATGTACTTACTGATTGGATTCATTATACAAAAACCAAAGGGAGAATAAAAGAAGAACTGGAAAAATCCATCTAATTGTAAATTTTAATATATATCTCTTTAGTAGCTAACAGAATAAGATGCAAAATGAGTAAAAACTAAAAAATTGAATAGCATTATTAAAAACTGACCTACTTGGCATATCATAAGGATAGCTAGACAGTCTTTGAATGTTTAAACACAACTCTTCTATGTAACCCATGAGTCAAAAAAGAAATCACAATCACAATGCTAATTTTATTATTTATTTATACTTAAAGATTATATTTATTTATTTATTTGAGAGAGAGAGAGAGGGACAGATAGAGAGACAGACAGAGATAGCAAGAGTGAACAGCAGCAGGGAAGAGCAGAGAAGCAGGCTCCCCACTGGGCAGGAGCCCTACATGGGGCTTGATCTCATGACCTGAGCTGAAGGCAGACACTTAACCATTTGAGTCATCTATGTGTTCCTATAGTGCTGATTTAAAACTGAGCATTAATAAAAATGCAACATACTAAAATTTGCAGAATCTGTAGCAATTGGTAGGATGCATTTAAAGCAATGATTTATAATTTTAAATGCATGCATTAGGAAGAATGGTTGAAAGTAATTATCTAAGCTTCCATTTCAAGAGACTGAAAAAAGAACAGCGGATTAACCCCCCTTCAAATTAGAGGGAAATAATAAAGGGAAGACTAGAAATTAATGCAATAGAAAACAGACATGCAGTAGAGAAATTAACAAAGCCAAATATTTGTTCCTTGAAAAGGTAACAGAAAATGATAAAAGGTAATAGAATAAAATAAAATGAAAAAAAGTAATAGAAAATAATCTATAATAGGAAAAAAGATTTTAAAAATAGATGCCAGAAAAGAAAAAGAGGACTTAACTACATACTCAACAGATGTTAAGAAGGGTCTCAACATATTTGCCAATAAATTTGACAGCATAGATAAAATGGAGAATTCCATGAAAATCACACATCAAAACTGACACCAGAAATACAGGAAAACCTGAGAAGCCTATTCCCATCACATAATTTGAATCAGCAGTTTAAACTTCCCCATAGAGGAAATTCCAGGCCTGTATGGTTTCACTGGCGAATGCTTCCAAACATTGAAGTAATACTAGTCTTATGCATTCGCTTTTAAGTTTGAGATACCTTTAAGGTGTAGAAATGGGTCTCGGACATAACAACAAAGATCTGAGCTGGAAATACAGATTGGGCCTCGTCATATATATAGTGTTTAAAGCCATTACTACGGTTGAGATCACCTGATGTAAGATGATTGAGTGAAAATTTTTCCAAGAGTACATAAGACCAAAACCCAAGAATTTCAAATATGGTAAGTAGTAAATCACAAAATGTATTGTTAATAGAAACCAAGAGAAAATTTTCAAGAAGAATGATGTGATTAGTTTATGAAATACACTTAGAAATCTGGAACTTTAAAGACCGATGAGACCATTACGTTTGGAAAATAAAGGTTTCCATCAACATTTGACACCCATCATGGGAAAAAATTCTAGAATTTTACTTTGTACGGTATAGTTATTAATAGGATGGAATGGTCTTCGGTATAAAACAGACAATTTTCAGTTCCTGTAGTACTTACTATGTTTGACCTTTGGCAAGCTTCTTTATCTTTCTGTTTACTTATCAGTAAATTATGGTTTGTAATTATTCTACCTTATTAAATAATTGTTAGAATTGAATAAGTTATGTATAGTGCTTAACTTAGTGCCTGACGTCTTATTTGCCCTTGGTAAGTATTAGCCAGTGATGGTGGTGGTGGTGATTTGGATTTGAAAATTTTTATCAGTTTTACTAACTTTTATAATACATACTTTTGCTCAAAGGGTGTTAAGGGACAAGCCAAGGACCAAGATTCCTGGCCTGTTTCTCCTTTTCTCCTGTTCTTAGGAGAACAAAGACTAGGAAAGGAAACCCCTAAAGAAGTCCAAACTGCCTTCTGGAAAACATCATACTAGACATGCTCCTCATAGAATTCTGAGTTAAAGAGCTGTTATGTCAAGTTGCACCAACTCTGAGTGATGTACTTACCAACTTTTAATCCTTTTATCTGGGTGTGATTACAGCCAAATGCCTACTCTATACATATCAGTCTGGAACATTCTTCCACTGAGTGTAAACTTTTTATTCTCCTTGTCTTTCTGTGGGATATTTTAACCCATTTTCTTCTGTTAAATCCCCTCCGTCCCCTATCGGCAAGTGGTTTGTACTGTCTATTTACAGTCCTTAGGTAATATGTATATTTTCTGCAGTCTCTGTAGGCCTCCTAGGCATATATATTCATCTGCTTTCTTGATGTCTGTATGCAGATACGGTATAGTGATAATGAGTGGCTGTCTTTGAATCCCTATTCTACTTACTGTGTTATAGGGGCCAGGATAGTTAACTTCTCCATGACTGAGTTTCTTCATGTATAAAATAGGAGTAATAATAATATCTATCTCAAGCAATTGATAGGTGGATGAAATAAGCTTAAATGAGAAAGCACATGTAAAGTGCTCAGAAGAGTGCCACACACATATTACCTTTCAATAAATGTTACTTGCTGCTATCATTATCCTCACCATCTCAAACTTCACTTGCACAAAACTGATCTTTTGATTTCATTTCCTTTCCCTAAATCTTCTCTTTTCTCTAGACTTCTCCATATCAATATTACCTCCACCTAGTTCCTAAAACCCAAAATATAGGTATTAACCTTATTCCCTCATTCTTTCACCATGCTATAATACACCAGCTAATTCTTTGCCTTACTTCCAAAACATATCCCAAATATAGTAACTATTTTCCCTTTATGCTGTTACCACCAATGTAGTCTTAAGTCACCATCACCTTTTGTTTGGATTATTTCAATAGCTGGTCTCCTGTGTTCCATTCCTTGTATAAATTCATTCCCTCTGCAGCATCCAGTGATATTTATAAAATATCATTTAGCTCCATTGGCTTTCTTTTATATTTGAATAAAATCTACAAACTCCTAACTCAGGCTTGCAATACCTATTTATTTGCCAAATCTTCCACCACTCTCACCCTTGCCCAGAATGTTCCAGCTCCTGATCTTACTGTTTGTCTACTAACTTGTCCTACCACCTATACATAATAGGTGTTGTATTCTCTTTGTTTGGAACACTGTTCCTTGTCTTCTCATGTCTGGCTCCTTTCTTTTATTCAGCTGTCTGGTAATTTTATGTGATTACCCCTTCAGAGAGGCTCTCTACTTAACAAGCTACAATAAAATTGTAGAATATTTACTGTCATCTAAATGTATTATAGAATTCAATAGTTTTAGGATTGGCTGGGACTTTATCAAAGGTGTTTGGTCCAGTTAGCTACCTAGAACAGAACTCACTTCTATAGTCTTTAGTAAACCACTTTTCAGACATGTCACCTATTATCTTCTTGGTTTAATAATTTTTTCAAAAATAACACTGATACTTTTTTTGTGTAGGATTTCCGGGAAAAAAATACAGATCATATGCGCCCTGACATTGTAGCTCTTCTAAGAAGTAGCAAGAATGCATTTATCTCTGGGATGATTGGAATTGATCCCGTAGCTGTTTTCCGATGGGCAGTTCTCAGAGCTTTTTTCAGAGCCATGGTTGCTTTCAGGGAAGCTGGGAAAAGACACATTCAGACAAAAACTGGTAAGCAGTAGATATTAGTATTCTACCATACTTATCTTTCAATTTTTTACCTCTCTTAAGGAGTAGAGACATAATAATTTTGTTTTCTTAACCATATCCTAACATCATTTTCAGATCTGATTAGTTCCAGTGTACTTGGTACTTAAGTGAATACATGGTGTTTGTTTATATATATGTGTTGGTATATTTTTATTAATAAATACTGAGAGGAGTAATGTATGTAAAGCACCTGATATTCAGTAGGTACTTTTAGTAAGACATTGGTAAATTTTTAAACAAAAAAACGAAATGATACTTCACCATTTACTTATATAAAATTAAATATTGATAACCTTTATTTTCTTATGCAATAGTTTTTATGCAGATGAAACAATTTAATGTGGAAGCATAAATCAGGAGATAAAAATATTGGATGGAGGTAGGGGGCAGGAGATAGCCTTACTTCAGAAATCAGTCAAGTGTCATTTCTTCTCTTTTTGAAGAGAAGAAATTTTTGTGATTTTGTGACTATTAGCAGTTTTTTTTTTTTTCCCCAAAATACTGTCTTCAGAATTATGGGGGTAAAGCCAGGTAATAATAGATGAATCTGTTTATGAATGTTAATTTTCTTTTCTTCCTACCCTTAACTCAGTTCATTGGATTTTACTTTGAAATTTAGAAATGAATGGAGCAGGATACTTTTTCTGTGTCTCTTCCCCTTAAATCATGAAATACCATAGTCCCTTAAATCATGAAATACCATAGTTCACAATCTGCATGAAGGCATCTTATCTTCATAAGCATTTGTTACCTAATGAAAATCACAGTGTAAAAAAGAGAAAAAGAAAAAAAGAAAAAAAAATCACACTTTGCTTACTGTAGCTCTAGCCTTAGATAGACCATTGCTGCATAGTGAGGATTTACTAATATATATGTAGCCATTTAAAATAAAGTGTTCTGTCCAGAAAAGCTTCAGTAGAAGCGCACTAGGACCCATCTGTACTTTCAGGACTCCCAGATTTACTTATATGGATTTTCAGCATGTGCACTAGCAGTAAAACTTTTAAGTTCAGCTTTTGCATATTCCAAATGAATACTTATATTTGGGAGATTGTATTTCTGAAATGAGAGGGAAAAGCTAATTGAACTTAGTTTCTGTATTTCAGATTATATAATATGTACAAACTGGCCTTTGTAAATAGGGAGAAATACAGTTTTTTTGGAAAATAAAAGGAATATCTTAAACCTACTTTACCTTTTAGAAAATTATCTCTAAGAGGCTTTCTTTGTAAAAAGCTCTAAGGAAAAGTTTTTTCTTTTAATGTAAGATACATTATTATTTATCATAGTGGATTTACCAGTTTTGAAAATTGTAAAAATTGGTGTATTCTACTAAGATATAACTGACTATGAGAAGAAACTTTTCTTGTATTTACTATTGAAAATATTGCTTTCTAAAAAGATTAATCACATTGTTTTTGTGTTCTTTTGGTATTTAAAATCTTATTTGTGAAAGCTGGTTGTATGTTTATTATTATCCTTTGGTACAAAGATACAAAATGTTATTAATGATCAGCAAAATGATAGTGTGTTATTTCTACTTTGATCATGTTTAGATTCTTCTTCTTTTGTAGTCTAATTTTCTTTCTGGCCAGCACAGAGCATCCATATAATAAACTTTTTGAATACTCTTTTATTTAAGGCTATAACTTGCATGTAGAAGAAAACTGTGCCCCCAAAAATGTATAGCTCAGTTAATTATCACAAAGTGAACACACCCTGAAACTATCACCTAGATTAAGATGTAGAATATTACCAACAACCCAGAAGTCTCATTGGATAAACTTTTTAAATTTCACTTTTTATCAAGAAAAAGAAAAGTCATAGTTCATTTGTATTTTGATTGAGCAGATTTGTTACAGGAAATAATTATATTGCAGTATATTACTATCAGTGCCAGTATTTAGCATTTTTGCTCCTTCTGCATGGATTTAGGATAAAAGGGTGCCATAAAATTTTAGAACATTATAGCATTACAAAACAAAAACTAACAGAATAATTGTGAAAATGGATAAATAATAGTTTCAGAACTTTTAAAATGACCATGAATAGTATGGAGACATAGTGAAAATGAAATATTGGAATTAGAGATTATTTAAGCAGAAGTGGAATTTAAGTGGAATTTAAGTAGAAGGAGAATTATTTAAGTAGAAGTGGAAGGCAGAAGGTAATCAAGTTCAGATTTTGAATGAGACTAAGAGTTCAAAGATAATCTTTTAAGGAAGAAAGAAGATGTTGACTACAGATGCACAATATATCTTCACTTCCTTTGAGAGTATATTTACAAAAAATTTTAGTGTCTCTTAGCTAAATTGCTAATAAATATCCTGATACTAAACTAAAAAATCTTGGATTTTCTTATGGAATTCCCTGACATTCTTTTTCTTCATCAAGCCATCCAAGCACAAATAATATCAAATTAAAATCTACTTTTTGACTGTTATTTTCATAGACTTCCAGATTAAGGAACACAATTTAAGACTTTTTTTTTTTTAAAGATTTTATTTATTTATTTGACAGGCAGAGATCACAGGTAGGCAGAGAGGCAGGCAGAGAGAGAGAGAGGGAAGCAGGCTCCCTGCTGAGCAGAGAGCCCGATGCGGGGCTGGATCCCAGGACTCTGGGATCATGACCTGAGCCGAAGGCAGAGGCTTTAACCCCCTGAGCCACCCAGGCGTCCCCAGTTTAAGACTTTTAAATAAAAATTCAGTTTATTCTTTTTAAGAATTGATTTGTTATAATTGCATAATGTGTATTATGGTGATCAGAAAACCATGCAGTGTTCTTAGTGGAATTATTTAAGTAGGCAGTGTGTGTGAAGCTACATATTGGCCCTGCTGGGACTTAGAGTGAGAAATAGTAATGATTTGTTTGGTCAGCAAACAGACTTTGCAGAATTAGTTCAGGATAGTAGCAACAATTATGTGAAACAGCAAATCCTGGGAAGAAGGGAGACTCTGATTTCTAGAGTTGCCATGTTATATTATTTGAAATATCTGGTGTTCTACACAAAATTCTGAAACACACACACACACACACACACACACACTAAGAAAAGAAAAGAAAAGAAAATGACCTGTATGTGTGAAAAAAGGAATCAATAGAAACTATTGCTGAGGAAAGCCAGACCTTGAACTTATAAAAGTCTTTAAGCTATTTTTTTTTTTTTAAGATTTTATTTATTTATTTGTCAGAGAGAGAGAGAGAGCGAGCACAGGCAGACAGAGTGGCAGGCAGAGGCAGAGGGAGAAGCAGGCTCCCCACAGAACAAGGAGCCCGATGTGGGACTCGATCCCAGGACGCTGGGATCATGACCTGAGCCGAAGGCAGCTGCTTAACCAACTGAGCCACTCAGGCGTCCCGCTTTAAGCTATTTTAAATATGTTCAAAGGCAGCCATATTTGAAGAACTAAAGGAAAGTATGAGAACAGTGTCTCACTAAATATAAAATATTAATTTATATGTGTGTGAGAAATTCACTAGAAGAGTTCAGCAACAGATTTGAATAGGCGAGGCCAGAATCAGTGAACTTGACCATAGATCAGTTGAGATTATCTGTTCTAAGGAACAGAAAAAAAGAAAGAAGAATGAATAGGAATGAACAGAGCTTTTAGACCTGTGGGACACAATAAAGTACCCTGGCATCTGGCAGTTTAGAAGGACAGAGAAAGGGGTAGTAAGAAATGTTGCAAGAAATAATGGCCAAAAGCTCTTCAAATTTTCTGAAAAGACTATATACCCAAGAAGATCAACAACCCACAAAGGATCCAAACTTAGATACATCATAATTAGATTGTCCTGAGATAGAAAATATTAAAAGCATCAGGAGAGAAGTAATGCATGTACAAAGTGTCCTTAGCAAGATTGACAGTTGATTCATCATCAGGAACCATTGAGGCCAGAGGGCAATACTGGACATATTCAGAGTGCTTAAAGAAAAAAGAGAGTCAAGAATTCTGTATTCACAAATCAAAACCACAGTGAGATTGCTATCTACCTTATACCAGTCAGAATGGCTGAAATTAACAAGTCAGGAAATGACAAGATATTGGTGAGGACATGGAGAAAGGGGAACCGTCCTACACTGTTGGTGGGAATGCAAGCTGGTGTACCTGCTCTGGAAAACAATATGGAGGTCTCTCAAAAAAGTTGAAAATAGAGTGGTGCCTGGGGTGGCTCAGTCGTTAAGCATCTGCCTTCAACTCAGGTCATAATCCCAGGGTCCTGGGATTGAGCCCTGCATTGGACTCCCTCCTTAGCAGGAAGCCTGCTTCTGCCTCTCCCACTCCCCCTGCTTGTGTTCCCTCTCTCACTGTCTCTCTCTCTGTCAAATAAATAAACAAAATCTTAAATTAAAAAAAAAAAAGAAAGAAAATAGAGCCTCCTACAACCCAGCAGTTGCATTACTAGGTATTTTACCCCAAAGATAAAAATGCAGTGATCTGAAGGGGCACCTGCACCCCGATGTTTTTAGCAGCAATGTCCACAGTAGTGGAAGGAACCCAGATGTCCGTCGACAGATGAATGGTTGAAGAAGATGTGGTATATATACACAATGGAATACTATTCAACCATCAAAATAATGAAATCTTGCCATTTGCAATGATGTGGATGGAACTAGAGGGTATTATGCTAAGCGAAATAAGTCAATCAGAGAAAGACAATTATCATATGATCTCGCTGATATGTGGAATTTAAGAAACAAAACAGAGGATCATAGGGGAAGGAAGGGAAAAATAAAACAAGACAAAATCAGACAGGGAGACAAACCAGAAGAGATCATAGGGAACAAACTGAGGTTGAAGAAGGGAGGAAGGTGGGGTGATGGAGAAACTGGGTGATGGACATTAAAGAAGGCACGTGATGTAATGATCACTGGGTATTATGGAAGCCTGATGAATCACTGAATTCTGCCTCTGAAACTAATAATATACTGTATGTTAATTAATTGAATTTAAATAATTAATTAATTCCATATTCAGTAAAACTACCCTTCAAAGTGACCGTGAAATTAAGACATTTGTGGATAAACAAATCCTGAGCTAGTATTATCAGATCTGCCCCACAAGAAATACTTCAGTGAGTTCTGGCTGAAATGAAAGGAAATTAAATAGTAACTTGAAAGCACTTGAAGCGCCATTAAAGGCAACTATAGAGTGAAGTATAAAATATAGTATGAATATATTTTTTTTACATTTTATAACTTTTTTCTCTAATCTGATTTAAAAGACAACTGTACAAAGCAATAATTATAAATCTTTGTTGATGGGCATGACATTTTAAGGGTGTAATTTGTATGACAGTAACAGTATAAAGGAGGAGGAAGAGAATGGAGCTATAGAAGAGAAACATTTTTTTTTATTAACATTTAATGTATTATTAGCCCCAGGGGTACAGGTCTGTGAATCACCAGGTTTACACACTTCACAACACTGACCATAGCACATACCCTCCCCAATGAAGAGAAACATTTTTATATACCGTTGGACTTAAGCAATTTAAATCCAGACTTGATTGTTATAAGATGTTAATTATAATTCTCTTGGTATTTGCAAAGAAAATAACTAAAAAATAATATGGTAATATAAATGACAAAAAATAAGAATATACTAGAAAACATCTGTTTAATATAAAAGAAGACAGTATTAAATAGAGGAATAAAAATAATATGTAATAAGACATATATGGAAACTCAACAACACAGGCCACCTGTTGCATGTATCACAAATCACAAATGTATGATTGCATTTATGTGAAGTGTCTAGAATAGGCAAATCTGTAGAGGTAGAATGTAGATTAGTGTTTGCCTAGGGCTGGAGTAGGCAAGCTGGGAAATGATGAGGGGAAGGATAATTAAAAAGGTTAATTAAAAAGGTTTCTTTTTAGGGCGCCTGGGTGGCTCAGTGGATTAAAGCCTCTGCCTTCGGCTCAGGTCATGATCTCAGGGTCCTGGGATCGAGCCCCGCATCGGGCTCTCTGCTCAGCGGGAGCCTGCTTCCTCCTCTCTCTCTGCCTGCCTCTCTGTCTACTTGTTATCTCTGTCTGTCAAATAAATAAATAAATAAAATCTTTAAAAAAAAAAAAAAGGTTTCTTTTTAGTATGTTGAAGGTATTCTAAAATTCATTGTGGTGATAGTTCAATAGCTTCAGGAGTTATACTAAAAACCATAGAATTGTACACTTTAAATAAGTGAATTGTATAGTATGTGGTTTATATTTCAATGGAACTATTCTACACAAAACACAAGAATGTTCATAGTATCTTTATTCTTAATAGTCCCCAGTTAGAAACACCCAAAAATCTATCAATGGAAGAAAAGATAACCATGTTGTGATACATTCCTACCATGTAACATTATTCTGAGTAAAAAAGAACAGATTACTGATTCTCATGAGTATCATAATGAGTCACAAAATATACTGGGCAAAAAAGCCAGGCATGAAAAGGTACATAGTGTATGCTTTCATTTAGTTTAAGAACAGGCGAAATAATATAGTTATGATAGCTTCTGCAAAGGCATGGGTGGTATTGATAGGAAGGGGTTGAAATAACTTGCTGAGATAATGCAAATGTTCTGTATCTTGATTGAGGATTACATAGATGTAAATATTTTTTAAGCTTATCAAATTTTTACTTGAGATTGTGGTGGTTTGCAATGTGTGAGATACACCTTTAATGGCTGTGTGGCCTGGAAGCTGGCATTACAGCATCTACTTTAGGATCAGAGACATGGCTTCAGGTTTGAATGAATAACTAGGATTGAGTTCCATTATGTGACGTAGTACCTTCAGGGAGCTTAGACTTTTCTGTCACTGAAAAGATTGAAAAATTCTGTCCATTAGCCTTGAGCAGAGAAATAAAAGGACCTTAGCAATCTAACCTTAGGCCTTAGATTGTTCTTAACCTACTTAAAAAAAAAAAATCAGTGCCTCACATCTTTACCATGCATTGATATGGGGTCTGAATTTATCTTGTATTTTTGGTACATAATCTCAAGGTAAGGAATTAACAAACTATACCAGGAACTAGCATAAACCAACACTAAATGAAAGTGTTTTAGGAGTTATGAGACTCCTTAGACAATAACTCTTCCTGAATCTGTACTTACAAACCATCGTAGGAAACTTAACCACCTTAACAGGGCATTGTTAACAGCAAATGAGAGGAAGATCAGTTTAAGGTTTGGAAATAGTATTATAGTCTAAAATAGTAGAGTTAAAAGAAGGTGTAGAAAGCAGAATGAAAGACGTTAAAAAAAAGGTATGATGGTAAGTCCTAAAATAGTCACAAATACAAAATTACCCATATCCAGATGTCATTGCCACAGTTTATTAGACAAAAGAGTGCAGTGGCTGTAGTAATGTCAAGCGATTTCTTCAAACTGCTTACTAATTTAGTATATTTAATATCCTAAACTTTTACATAGAACACTTTAATTCCATAATCTCCTTAAAATTATTTCTGACTGGCAGATTATCAAGATGCCTGAAAGTCTTGTGATAACTTTTTAAAATTACAGTTTGGTTAGAGTATAAATAGAACTTTCCAGGCATTTTTTTTTTCCCCTCAGATGGTCCCCCTCAACTGATACCTACCTCCTGGCACCACCAACTAACAAGTATAGGCTAGTCTGAGCCTAACTAAGCATTCTTTCTTCAAGCAGCCCATCAAAGATGGTGGAGTGGATCATTGATAATGGGCATAGAATATTTTTACTGAGATGTTCTTCAACTAAGAAATGATGGATAACTTGATATTTGTCTCTTTTTGAAATACTGAACATTTGCAGCTATGTGCTCTCCACATTGGATGAATGAGAATAGTGTTTTATTAGTTTACTTTTTCAGTATTGGATATGAAAATAATTTTCAAATCTACTTTATTTTTAAAAATTGCTATTTATAAGTATCTTATTATCTGATGCAAGATTCCATCTCTTTAGCTAAAATGTGGATGCTTGTTCTCTGGATCCAGTAATCTAGTTCAAGGAATTTTAGTTAGACTAAACCCTGCTTTGCAAACCTCTTTGAACTACTCTGCCTCTATTTAACTTTTTAAATGATTCTGCATTGAGAACTATTCATAGGTAGTATCTCATTCCTAATTATACAGTAAATATGCACTAATGAAACTTGATTCATTGTGTTGCTCACTTTGTCTCTATTGTTAAACTGTTCCCTTTTGTTTTTTAAAGGCACACCTACACAAATTTGAACTAAACGTCCTAACTCTAGCGATGTTCTTTGAGTAAATGATACTCAACACCTTCCCCCCCACCCACAAAAAACCTGGAGATGCCTATTTTCTTTTAATCCATCTATTACTAATATTAATAGTACTGACCTCCCCGCAGCCTCCTTTATTGTTAGAGTGACTCACTGCTTCAATAGCACTAATCTGGGGCTTTGGTCCTTCCTTGAACATACTCTCTTCCCTTTCCCGCAAATAGTTGATTTTGTCTCACTTGACTAAGTGGTGGTGAGGTACATTTTCCACCTCTCTTTTCAGATTTATAAATACCAAAGTGCTGCTGGGTTTCCCTGCTCTATGGTGCTTTTCTTCCTGCTCTTTAAACATTGACACACTTGTTGGAATTCCTACAAGTGTGGTTAATTGCAAGATTTGTGAAAGAATTATTTAACTTTTGGTAAATTGTTTTGGGTGTATTTTTCTTTGGGGTTCCATCATTGTTCCTTGCATTGTTGCCAACTATATGCTAATTATATTTCAGACCTGATAAAAATGGGCCTGTTTAAAAAAATAAACATACAAATTGTTTTGAAATTTCCCTAATTTTTTAAATTAGAAATTTTTAGTATGATATTAATTCACAACACTTTCAGTACTGAAAGGAATACTTTGAATACCTAAAAAAGACCTTTATATTTTCCTTTTATTTTTGTCTGATTTCCTCAAATCAATTTAGAAGATTTATTCACATTTAATGCATATTACTTGATACATTTTTAAAAATATATTCTTAAGATAGTTGGCAGCATTGTCCTTGATTCTCTATTGGTTTGGGTTTATATAATATCTTTTTTCTTTTCTCCATTTTTTTGTTTTTCTTTTGCTTCCTAAGGGCATGATGATACAGCGCCATGTGCAATTTTGAAAAGTATGGATAGTTTTAGCTTTCTCCAGCACCCAGTCCACCAGAGGAGCTTAGAGATTCTGCAGAGGTGCAAGGAAGAGAAGTACAGTAAGGCTGCAAATCCTGATAAACTCTGTGTCATCACGTATCTGTTTGGAAATGGAAACCAAGAGCATTCTGCACCAGGGTGGGACATAAATTGCCTTGACAATGTGACCTCCATAATCCTTTGACAAGTCTCAGGATATTTCCATTGATTGAGACTTATTTCTTCTTTCTTTTGAAAAAGTTGATATACCTCTTCTTTGAACTTGGATGACTATTTTTTGCCTGTGATCCTTGAGTTGTTAATTATACTTGGTTTTAGAGTCTGAATTGGTTTCTGGTTTTGTCTTTAAAGTAGCTGAGTGATGGTTACAAATCGAGTAATGATTTTTTTCCTGCTAATTTTTTTAAAAAGCTTTATTCAAATCTAATTGAGGTAAAATCGCATGCAAAAGCATAGAGTTTGATAAGTTTTAACGTATATATGCACTTGTGAAATCATTAGCACAGTCTAGTTAATTACCATATCTGACACTGCCAAAAGTTTCCTCTGCCCCTTTCTAATTTTGGCTGATTTTATGCTTGTTTATGCTTGAATTTGAACATCAGCAGTGTTGCTTTTGTGTATCATTGTTTAATCCACTTCATTTGATTGCAGTTCTATCAGACCTTTCTGTCTCTGGTTTAGAGCAAAGCCATCACATTAATGTTTTGGCTTAAGAAAGAGTGAGAATCACGATGGATATTCTTTTTTAATTTTTTAATTTTTTTTTTATAAAATTAGTGTGAAAAGATGCCCTTGGTCTCCATTTCCTCCTTTCTATTTGTTATACTCATTCTGAATGAAAATGGGTCCTTTTGCCTGTTGTGGGATTATAGTTTCTTGGCAACTGCTATCGTGAGGATGAAGAGGTCTTTTAAAATACTCAAAGCCCAACTCAGCAAATAATGGACTTAAATTACTTACCTATTCTGAGCTTTTTACAAATCACCATAGATTTACTTTGTTAATTTCACTGTTTTGTGATTGAAATTCCATGAAATTTTAGGATCCAGTTATCAGTGAAAGGAGAATGTAAGTAGAATTTCTAAAAGCAATGTTGTGGGTTCTTCAGTTCTGCTTTCACTGTTGTATAAGAAAATGTGTAATGCATTTTGAAAAATACTATTTAAAATGTTTTCTTATTTTAGAAAGAACAATGGTAAGTATTTCATTTTAAAAAGAACATCGTGTTACTATTAATTATTGCTGTTTCTAAAAAGTATACAGTAAGTCTTCATTTCAGTTACCTATCTTCCTCTCCTAAATCTTTTAATCCATGGGACATTATTTAAAAGAGCCTACAGATCTTTTGGGGGAGTTTAAATTGTTTTTTACTTTTAAATAGTGGCAGGTAGTTTATTTGTTTTGCTGATTTTCATGACCCTCAGTCCATCCCAGCTTAGTAGATATGGGTTCAGAATAGGAGGGCACCATGTACAGCACAGCATAGGCTGCATGAGGAATTTTTTTTTTTAAAGCTTTTATTTATTTATTTGACAGAGAGAAAGACAGCAAGAGAGGGAACACAGCAAGGGGAGTGGGAGAGGGAAAAGCAGGCTTCCCACTGAGCAGGGAGCCCAATGGGGGACTCTATCCCACATTGGCTCATGACCTGAGCTGAAGGCAGATGCTTAAGGACTGAGCCACCCAGGCGCCCCTGCATGAGGAAATGATATATTTATCTACATTTACATGCAAATTTATGGAAGTTGGAGCTTTTCCATTATTTTAGGTAGTTTATTACATTTCCTATATAGTACTACCAGTAATTAAAATTTTATAATATATAAAATTACAAATTCAGGTCTAGGAGACTGTTTTTAAAAATACAGGGAACTACCAACTTTAGGTAATGGATAATTGGCAAGGTGAATGAACCCTTCCACAGGTAACAATGATAAAACCTGGAAAAATTTTAAAAATAACAAAATGATTTGAAAGCACTGGAAAAAGACAAAACAACAACAACAACAAAAACCCCACTGAAAGACCAAAAAGAAGCAGAAACCAGAGGAGAGTTTATTCTTTGAAGTAAGTAAAGCAGTAGAAAAGAATTGTGAATCTGTGGCTTTTTAAACAAGGTGCTCCCCAAGTCCCATGGCCCCAGAGACAACTGACCACAACCATACTGACTTGAGGTATCAGAGAACAAAAGTTGAGGATTGGCAAAACAACTTGGAATTTAGGAGGAAAATCCTGGAACTGAGTAAGCTGCCAAAGGGCTAAAACACAAAGTTAGAGTATAAATTCTGCCAACCATACCTGGCTAACAGCTGTGAGTACTCAGGGAAGCTGGTAAACAAAGCAGTGCAAACCAAATAGGAGATGACCTTTGAAAGATAAAACTGTAGTAGGTGAGATTTGCAAGTTTGCTCCTTTTTTGACAGAGGGCCTTTTGTATCTCCATAGCTCCTGTGGGAGAAATACTGAAGTCTTGCTATCTTGTCCCATAAATAGAGGGGAGAGAGAAAGAAGCAGAGAAATACTTGAAGAAATAGTGGCCAAAAACATTTCATGTTTGATTAAAAAAAAAAAAAAAAAACTGACTTAGAGATCCAAGAAGATTTGTGACTTCCAAGTAGAATAAATAAAAAAGAAAACCATTATCAGGCACATTGTTTGCCAAATGTCAAAGAGAAAGAGAAAATCTTGAAAGCAGCCAAAAGAAAATATGGCACATTCAATACAGGGGAATAATGATTCGATTAACACCTGACTTATTAAAGCAGTAGAGATGGAAAAATATCCAAAAATCATAATTAAAATCTCCCCCCCAAAACAAACAAAACACTGCCCTCCCCAATCCCCGCAACAGAACTCAATTTTCAGGCAAAATTTCTGTATTTTAGTTTGGGTCCAGACAAGTTAATTACCTGTTAGAAGAAAAATCAACAGTTTCCAGAAAAATGTAACAGAATTTAGTGTTGCTACAATGTCTAACTATTAGCAAAAATATTCTTTAAAAATGAACCTGAAATAAAGATGTTCTCAGATGAAAGGAATCTGAGAGAATTTGTCACCATAATTTACATTCTATAAGAAATGATAATGGAAATTTTGTTTTTTAATCAGAAAGTTCGACTTTATTTTTTTTATTTAATTTTTTTTTAGAGAGGGAGAAGGTGTTTGAGCAGTGGGAGGAGGGGCAGAGGGAGAGAGAGAAAGAGTGACTTTTTTTTTTTTTAAGGTTTTATTTATTTATTTGACAGAGATCACAAGTAGGCAGAGAGGCAGGCAGAGAGAGAGAGGGAAGCAGACTCCCTGCTGAGCAGAGAGCCCGAGGCTTGATCCCAAGACCCTGGGATCATGACCTGAGCCGAAGGCAGAGGCTTAACCCACTGAGCCACCCAGGCACCCAAGAAAGAGTGACTCTTAAGCAGGCTCCACACTTAGCACTGAGCCCATCCATCACATGACCCTGAGATCATGACCTGAGCTGAAATCAAGATTCGAATGCTTAACTGATGAGCCACCCAGGCACCTTGATAGTAGAAGTTCTTTAAACTAAAGGCTAAAATTACCATCAGATGGTAACTTGGATGAATAATAAGTACTGGTACACTTTTCTGCAAAAGGCCAGGTAGTAAATATTTTAGGCTTTGTGGGTCTTATGGTCTCTGTTGAAACATCTCCATTCTACTGTGAAAGGAGCCTAGGGAATACGTAAATAAATAAGCATGGCTGTGTTCCAATAAAACTTTGTAACGGACACTGAAATTTAAATTTCATATGATTTTCGCATGTCACAAAAATATTTTTCCATTGATTTTTTTCTTTTTTCCCTCAACCATTTAAGAAATGTAAAAGCCATTCTTAGCATCAGGTCATGCAAAAACAGGCAGTAGGTTTGATTTGGCCCAGGGACTTAGTTTGCTGACTCATTAATTATTGGAAGAAATAGAGAAACAGAAATAATAAATCTGTCTACAAATAAATGACTATACATATTTCCTTTCCTTGTCTTAATTTCTTTTAAAAAGATGTATGACTAAAGTAAAAACTGTGACATATTCTGGTGGTATAAAATGTATCCACAAATTCTTTGATACTCCTCCTTTCAAAAGGCATGTGCTCTACTTAATGACTCACTTCTAATAAATGGAATATGGCAGAAGTAACAGTGTGCGGCCTTCACAGTTAAGACATAAAAGGTATTGTGGTTCTTCCTTTTCATTTCTTTTGCTCCCACCTTCTCTCTCTAGTAACTAATCTCTGAGATTTGGTAAGGAGGAAATTAGAGGAGAGAAACTGAGGTTCTTGGAAGGATGACCTTCAGTCACACTTCTGCAAAGATCAAGAGCCCTGGTAAGATAAAGGAGTAAGATGGTAGGAGAAAGAGAAAGGGTAGAAGAGAAGAATCGCACTTGAATTTGACCCATACTTTTGATCAGTCTATACTCAGAACATGTTTATGAAGATGATGAAGGATTAGCAGTTGACAGAGAAGCATTGTGGGCTTGATAAAACTTAATACTCTCACCTTGCTGACAATGCTTGCCTTAATATCCCTGACCTCAGGCCTCATTATGGTCCCACAAATGATTGAAAATTTAATCTGACCAAATGCAATTAATAGAATTCCATTGTGGAATTCCAAATGGAATTTAAGTCTGACCCAAATGGAACTTAAAAATAGAAATCAGTAACAGAAAGCTATCTGAGAAGTCCTCCAATTTTTCTTTTTTGAAGTAATCTCTACACTCAACGTGGGCCTTGAATTTACAACCCTGTGATAAAGGGTCACTTGCTCTTCTGCTGAGCCATCTAGGTGCTCCCCGAGAAATACTCAAATATTTTGAAAGTAAACCCCATGTTTAAGTAACTCATGAGTTAAAGAATTCATATGGGCAACTTGAAGCTATTTTGATCTGAATGAAAATGGAAATAACTTACATAATGCAACTAAAGAAGTGCTTATAAGAAAATTGATAGCTTTTAATTCTTTATATTAGAAAAAGTCAGAATCAATGCTTTTACCTAATGAAGATGCAAGAGCACTTTACACCCGAAATAAGTAGAG